GAATACTGTTTTTCAAATTATACAGATACACTGCTACATGTATAAATAATACTTTGTGGGACAACTGACTTGTGATTAAACCACTAATGGATGTATATTGACGTGATCCCTGTCAACTGACACATGAATTCCACCCATACAATACAAACATAACCATGCTGTGCTAATAAAACCAAACCATTGTCAAACTAACAACACAGAATTCCTTGTAGTTTTCCGGCTCAGCATTTTTGTGAGCGTGACTATCTTTGGTGTGCATACATGCATGTTTTCAATAGGCTATGAAATGAACCTGACATTTTATCAATTATTCAATACTGATGTCCTCATCAGTGTGTCCTCTAATAGAACTGATTTTGTAGGGATACCCAAAATGGAATCCTACCAATCAAGTTTAGTCAGCTTGTAAAATAAGATCTTCAAGAAAAGAAAAAAAAATTATATGTATGTATAGGGGACTTAAGGCACAGCCAAAAATGTTTTACATTTACAATGTATTTTAAACTTTTTTTTAAATATAAAATGTGAATTTCATTTTACCAAATTACAAATTCCAAAAGGCCAGACTTTTTTTATTCCTTGTTTCTAGAGTTTTTATAGGGCAAAAAAAAAAAATTCTTTTTTTCCATTAGATTTGTGTGATTCTTAAAAGAGTTGTAGGTGAGATCATTGATCGGAGAGAAGAAATGAAATAAAATAAAATTTTATTTCATTTATAACCTTGTTTCTCATCTGCACGAGACTTCGGTACTTTGATCATGATACTCCCACGAAAAATGCAACTTGGGTTTGTTATGCGGCGGGCGGAACAAAAATGAAGATAAAAATAAGTGTTTTAGCAATTTTTTGCACTTACAAGTCGGCGGGTGCGAGAAATTACGCCAAAATAAAATTTTATTTTTATTTCATTTTCGACTCCTGTTCATTCGGCGGGTTTGCGAAACAAGGGATAATAAAAGTCTGGCCTAACTGTACTAAGATGTTTTTTCAAGTTCACTATATCACTGTATGATTTTCTGTTATTGAGAATTAACACTAGTTGTGTCACAGCAAATCTTTGTTTGTCATTGGTGCGTCATATTGGCTTAGACGACACATTGGTTTTCATACATAGCCAACAATGTACAGACTCTTAGACAATACACATACACAAGGTGTACTAAAAATACAAATTCCATCATTTTTCATAGGATAAAATATTCATGACGATCAGTTTAATACATTCTAAAAGCTCAAAGTTAATATAGTTCAGTGTTGCCCATGCTTTTCAGTTACAAGACATCAATCTTGTAATTTGCATTTGCAATTATTTGGTAGTCACATTCTCATTTACATTGTTATTGGATTCAAACACTGAGAATCACTGTACAGTGTATCGCCATGGGTTACAATATTATTAAGGCACATACCTGCAAGTGATACAGGCTACCATGTTTCCTATATGTACATGTAAGTGCAATATTATAAACCCTTCAGTTATAATAACAATTTATTAATGTCTTTATAAAAGCTATATTTTCAAGATATTGATTTAATTATAGACCTGTCTTTTAAGTCTATGATATATATAGTTAAAGAAATATTATTTCAGTCTTTCAGGTTTCTTTCAGTCATTGGCCATGTATCCCACAAGCTGAGTGTGGTGATTAGTCAAACATATATGAATATTTAAAAAACAAATTCATGCCTTCATGAAATGCATAGTAATCAAACAAGAAAATAAGTTTAACATTTATTAAATAGTATTTTTGAATACCTGCATTAAAATTTGATTTAGATCAACAAAACATCCTCTGAAACAGACAATAAACACTGAGGCACACTGGTATGCAAAATTGTCACAACTTTCAAACTGACGAGTGTGATAAAAACCATTAAATATGGGAAAGAGTTATTATTTAAAGCGCGGTAGTCGTCACGCATGTGCGAGATATATGGGTCTCATATAAACAAAGACGGCGACTTTGACTGTTGTGCAGATCAACGAGTATGAACTGAGACGTTTCCAAGCTTTAATTAAGTAATTTTCATGTTATTGGAAGGCATCAAAGGAGTCACCGGCGGTAATCAGTGCAAGTCGCGCCCAGGTCAAACCTCATACTTGTGATTTCCATTTGAATAGTGCATTGGATTGTGGGAAAATCAATGTTTATCAACACAAATGTGGCTCATGCGTGACGACTACCACGCTTTAACTGTATTAAGGTAGAGATGCAGTTTATCTGACAGGTTTTGTCCACAAAACTATATATTTTCGGAAAGCTTATTGTATGAATTTAAAAATTTTGTTAGTATTTTTTTTTATGGACACTGTATTTTGAAATATGCACAAAAATGTGCTTTAAAAAAAATAGCTTCTAAACCATGCTTCTGTTCCCTGTCAAAATTGGTTTATGGGTACATCTGTTTGCTATGAAGAAAGTGCCATCTTGAAAACTGTTTTGCAGGGCAGCAGCTCAAATTTCACTACTTCAAGTTTATGCATAAATTAACACCCAGGCTAGTTGTTGTACGATTGTTGTAACACTGTTCAACCAAAAACAATGCCCCAACGGTGTTTTGAAGATAAACACATTATCAATCATTTGTGAAAATTTCAAAACAAAAGGTCACAGCGTTTAGGAGCTATTTTTTTTAAAGTTCTGGGATGTGCACTAAAAAGAAGCTGAGATAATTGCTAATTTGCATAACAATTCACTCAGTAAGAAGTTTGCTAATGCTCATAATTAAAATGGCTGTAAGAGTTCTAAATTTAGATGTATTATCGTTTTGTAAAAAGTTAAATATAGTGCATAATATGGAGATCCCGTCATTTCTTTTTTTCACCATGTTTTTTGTTAACATCTGGCAATACTTAGTGTCAAACTAAAATCAAATGAATCCACTGTAGCAAGTAACAGTGTTTCCAAGGAGTTCTGTAGTGAGGCACTGATTTTTTTTTAAATTAATGAAAAATTATTATCATTTATAAATGAACTACAAGTTTACTAACGATGTTTTTTTTTCGTTTTTGTAGTGTCATCGTTACAAAAACGTCTATTACACTGATTTTCTATACAAGTTTACTTGGTCTC